ATGATAAATAAATACAATTTAATTAAAAGGTAACTGAGAGAATGATAAATAAATACAATTCAATTAAAAGGTAACTGAGAGAATGATAAATAAATACAATTTAATTAAAAGGTAACTGAGAGAATGATAAATAAATACAATTCAATTAAAAGGTAATTGTTAGAATGATAAATAAATACAATTCAATTAAAAGGTAACTGAGAGAATGATAAATAAATACAATTCAATTAAAAGGTAACTGAGAGAATGATAAATAAATACAATTTAATTAAAAGGTAACTGGGCGTATTTCACTAAAAGCTAAAGTAAGACTATAGAAGTAATCAGAAAATTAAACATTGATATAAAATCATCAACATGACGGAAATATTGCATATTTATAGGGATATCTAACAACATACTCTTATAATAAAACTAAGTCACAGTTCTTGAACTTATTTCTGTTTTTTACCTGTCCGCTGGTCCACTTCCTTCTAGTGCTGCTATCACGTATCCTACAACACTTCTCCCGCCTTCCTGTCTTCCACTAATGTAGATTCCAAGCTCTCCCTGATTGTCTTTTTCTAAAGTAACACTAAAAACCTTCTCATTGGTGAGATTTTCTGGGACCTTAACGTAGTTGTAATCCTGGTTGTTAGGATGTTCGGGTCCCAGAAGTACTGTAACACTAGATTGATTATCAGTCTTATAAAGACCGGAGTTCGTGATTTCTGAAGAAGTGGGTTCTTTTACGAGATCCTTCCCCCAATTCAATAGCGATCCTTTAGACACTATTAAATCCCCTGATTTTGGCTGGGTACAAAGTTGTGATTGTATCCATTGTCTTCTACTGTCATTAGAGGTTGAAGCTATCTTGTGGCCAGCCTTTTTCAGTCTTAATTGATAGTTAAGATCACCACACAAACGCGTTTTGTTTTTATCATCCACTTCATTTTCAGTCCTTGTTAATTCTGAAGAATTTTGAGATGTATTTGGCGAGATTGTGGTAGCACTAGCTTCTCGGACTGGGTCCAGGAATAAGGTAGATTCGAATAAACTAGATCGTTTGGGAGAGAGGCTTTGGAGCTTTTGGAAGTTGTCCGAGTGATGGTTTTTTTTCCATTTGTTTCTCAGCAACTTACGATCCAACGTCCAAGCTTTAAACTGTTCAAGACGAGAAGTATCGTTTTTTGTGTTTGTTCCCGTGTATTTTGTTAAAACACCCGCAGAACTTCCAGCTTTCTCGGCGCTGGTGTTTTCTTTACTTTTTAGAACCAACTGAGACAAAATGGCTGGTGTTCGTAGCCTTAAACTCTTGGTGTCTCCATAAGACTTGGACAGCGTCCGACTATCACTGGAGCTGTGATATTTACTTTGACTCGCATTGGACGCAGTTCTCTTAACGATCAAAGGACCAGAGCTTTGAGTTTTAAGTTTCTGAAGAATTGCGCCAAACCCTTGAAGACTGCCGTCAGAGGTCCTACGAGCTGAAGACGTACAGTTTTCTTTAGAGGACTCGGTGAACATATCCAGTGAACTACTTGTAGGCATGAGTGACAATTCTGTGTCAATATTTAAAAAAATATGTCGTTTTTCCTCGGAAGTTGAAGAGTCGTCATTTCCGTTCTTCGTGCCATCACTTTCGTATCCTGATTCGTCTGATCGGTGCTGCACTGAGCTTGCTAAGCTAGCAGTATCCTCGGCTACAGACAGCTCATTATTTTGTTGGCAAGTTTCAAATTCTTCGGTTTGTCGCGATAATCTTTCGAGATAAACGTCTTCTTCAAACACTGTTCCCAACTGTGATTTCGCCTTAGTCAGTTGATTAGCAGTGCCATCTAGTGGGTTGAGTTGGTCAACTAAATCATCGCAGCTGACAGTTTTGGTTGGAAAATAAGAACTTCTGGTTCCCAGGGAATTTGACAAGCATTCTGTAGATCCAAACTCATCACCGTCATCTAGCTGAACAAGCTTCGATTCGACGTCTAGTAAGGCTGATGTCGAAACACTACGGTACATGACACCTTTGTTTGTCTCTGCTCTACTCTCATCGCTCAACACTGTGTTCATTAGCGCATGTGCGGAGCTATCTAGTCCCACCCTGCGTTCTGACTCACGCTCGCTGTTAATACTTGCACTGGCTATCTTCCTGCCGGGGTCAGAGTTCAGCACCGTCCGTGTCCATTGTGCAGGACAGTGATCCAGGGATATCTGGGAAAACGCTGTTCTCAAATAAGTTGGCCTTGACGAGTTTTGAAAGACGTCTTGGGCTAATGTGTTGGTGGGCTCTACTGACACGGCATACTTAAGAGGAGTTGAATGTTTCCTGCCGGGACGTAGAAACGGGAAGCCTGTAATTACCAGAAAAAGAAACAGATTATGACGTGCATTATCCTGCGGGAATAACTATTTAAGAGTAAAGTATAAAGCAATAGGACGCTACCGAAACGGATTTACAAAGTTTTCTAGTTAAAAAAAACGAAGGTAGGAGCTTCGAAATATCACTTTTACACACAGTAAACCACGTGCAACAACTGAGGCGGAACAGAATAATCAGCTAATTTCACCCTGCTGTTCTCACTCTAGGCTACTGTGACCGTAAAATTCGCGCTTCGACGCATACTTGTAGCTACTGTTTTCGAAATTCTTACAAGGCTTTGAAGGACGTTTGTTAGGACTCGTAAGGCTTAGCCTAGGTTGAAGTACGCGCAGTTAAAACAAAAAAGAAAGAAAGAAAAAAAGAGGAATGTTAATTATTAACGTGTTAAAAATTAATAAGTACATTATTGGTTAACTCAGATATTTTATTCTCCCCCTCGAGTAGAAATGAATGAATGTATTATTGGTAAAGCCAATAATTTAAAAGTTTTTACATGCGTGATGTTGTTACGGTTCCATCATATTTCAGGTGATATTTTCCAAAGTTTTATCGAAACATGTAGCATGTAATAAAATATTTCATCATGTTGACAAATCATTGTGTCTTATATATATACAAGAAGTCCTAGCTTAATGTGCTTTTATATACACAAATAAATAATTGTAAGTAATTGATTTTTTACACGCTACCTGCACACGTTTCCTTTCTTTACACGATTCCAACATAACACGCTGCACTTTGTATGATCCACAGACCAACACGACCCTGTGACATCCTCGGGGTCACCGGCACCAAATTTACTTCAGTGATCCTGGGTACCGTGATATAATGTCACCCAAGTAAAAAATAAGGCCGTGTCTATCACCACTTTTTTACGCATGCGCAGTGGAGGGTGAATATTATGAAGGAATCACTTAATTCTACCGAGGGTATTAGAAATAAGTAGTATAACATTTTTTTAAATCATTTTTTAAGATGAATACGGTTATTGGTTAATATTGATACTTGCTGGCTATTAGCACTTGAGATACAAGCAAAAATAGACATGCTGAAAAACAACACATGATACAAACGTCTAGCAACAGATTGTTGTTGACCAATGAAAATGCATAAAGGTAAGGAAATGACTTTTGTTACGTACTTATTAATAAATATTATACGTGTGTTTCAGTTTATACAGTTTGTAGGTGTATTAAGTTCGTAGCCGTGTAAGTAATATTTGATCTACAGAGAGCGCACACAGTACACAGATTAGCAAAGCCAAGCCACAGCGCCATCACTTGGCTTAAAAGTAATCTAACAGTGGAAATTCAGGTAATATTGATGGGGAATAACAACAGCTCAGTAACAAAAATATTCGAAAATCTTTAAGGGCTAAATTATTGCTGTCCCATGGGGTCCGGTGCTCTTTACTCACTCTACGTAAGAAAAATATGGAAATTATTATCAAACGTGAACGATTTTTTAATCCCGATTCAACAACAAAATACGACGGCAACATTTAATATAGAGAAAAGAAATAAAAAAAGAGGCTTACCGGTTCCCTAGAGAATTATATATATTTTGATAAGGTGGATCCAGTAAACCTGTGATAGACATAACTGTGAACAAAATAGAATTATTCAAGTGTAACGGTTTGTTGTCTAGCCAATCCTTAACCCTAAATGGTGACTTGGTTTGTTGACTAGCCAATCTTTAACCCTAAATGGTGACTTGGTTTGTTGACTAGCCAATCCTTAACCCTAAATGGTGACTTGGTTTGTTGACTAGCCAATCCTTAACCCTAAATGGTGACTTGGTTTGTTGACTAGCCAATCCTTAACCCTAAATGGTGACTTGGTTTGTCGAATACTTAAAATCGTTCTCGCTTATTTCTTTAGTAAATATGAAATTTTAATTCAATAGCAGTGTCCGAGAAACAAACGGTAATTTGTTTTCAGATATTCCCGCAAACCTACACAAGAGCTATCTCCGTTAGTCGTCTCTAACTTTTAACTGATATACTAGAAAGCAAGCAACAGCACCCACCGCAAATTTTTGGGTTACGCTAATACAATAATGGGATTTGATTGTCACTCTTATAACGCACCTACGCCCTCTCAACGTGCGAGCATCATTTTGTGCAACGAGACTCGAATAACGAACTCTCGGATTAGAACAATGGGATTTGATTGTCACTCTTATAACGCACCTACGTACTCAAAGTGCGAGGATGATATTGTGGCAACGGGGCTTGAACCATAAGCACTCAGATTCACATGCCGGCGTGCTAACCACCAGACCACGCCCGAACCTGTTCTTAATTGTTTATTCAGATAACTATATTAATTACCTAGAAATTCAGCAATTGTCTTTATCTAAATAAAATCAGACTTACATATCTATAGAATATGTTGTGATTCACTTATACCTGTTACTTTTATTACAACTCAGTCGATATACTGTAGTCGGGGTTCAGGTGATATTAAATAATCAGTTTGGTGTAATAGTTCAAAGTTTAAAGATCGGTAATGAGAGAGATAAGAACTGTGTCATATTTCTTTCATTCCGAAATGAAATATTACTATAGTAGCTCTATTTTACACTTACCTGAAAACCGTGACCAGATACGTTTTGATACGTATACACTGACATAAAAACCCGTCCCTGACATCTTTCCCAAGTCGACATCTTGTTCTAGAGGCCTTGAACCTGTCATTAAAACATTCTTGCCACGGCCTCTGATTAATATTCATTTAAAGATAACGCCCCTAGGGCAAGGCTAGTCTAGGTAGAAGGAGCAACAAGTACATAGGTCTATATGTTATGGACTTGACCTATAGAACTGCCTCGATCGGGGCTTTTTCTTTGACTACCTTTATGTTGCCCGAAGAGCTTGCTTTCTTTTCTTTTTTTTTAGTTTGTGACGGTTATTCGTGGAAAACTACATAAGGGCTATCTGTGCTAGTCGTCACTAACTTTGAACTGAGATTAAACGAAGGCAGGTAGCCAAAAACCACCTGCCGCCAACTTTTGGGCCACTCAAATGGAATATGGGAATTTGACTGTCTCTCTTATAACGCATCTATGTCACCAAAGCTCGGAACGCATTTTTGCTACAATGACCGCGAACCATGGACCTAAGGTTCACAGTCCGGCGTGATTAAACCACTAAGCTACACCCGGCCATTCCCCTTCTGAGAGAGAGATATCACAATCGAAATTAAAATCAAAGACATAGTTTAACGGTGTTGTAGGGGGCCTCAAAAAGTCTAAATCCTGCCCTGTTACTCACACCACTAGAGTATCTGTACGAAATCAGTCTTCCCCGTTGACAAAGAAAGAAATACTGTGAAGAGCATTTCAAACCCCTTGTACAACCAACCGTATTACTGAAAATAACCGAGTTATTATCAACCGGTACATTGCCACACAAAGAGCTATGAGAAAATAAAAAGAATGCCTTTGATATAAAACCAGTCACGAAATCAGTATTATAACAAACCCATTCAAACAAATATTTTTGTTTTTCAAAATGTGTGGTGCTAAAAAACAAATGATAATTATAATAAATAATATTACGCCAACAAACATATAATATTACACCAACAAACATATAATATTACACCAACAAACAATTGTTGTCAAATACCACCAATCACCTCCCTCGGTTTAATTTTATGCAAATTGTGTATCTGATAATTCGCCATGTGATCTGAAATGCAAACGGTTGACCATATTGGCTTACTCTGGGAGGGGGGGGGGCTTTTCTAGAAGTGGCTTTACGTCTTTACAGTTTGTAACAGTTGACTTCAGTAATGTAACAGCCTGAGGTTCGATCACTCCATTGAAATAAGATATTTAGTGGCTCTGGTCTCTTGAAGGGGTTAGACTGAATTCAAGTCTTGTGAGTAACAAGAACACTCGATTCTGCCAGTTTATCCTTCTTCCAGAGACGTGTTGGTCAATTTAGCATGATGAGATTAAGCATTTTCATGTATCAGGCTGAAAACATGGCCAATTGAAGCAGCATGTGTTTGATACAGGGTTACTGGATTGTAGGGTTTTAGGATGCATCTACTATCATATATCACCTACCATCATTCTTTGTTGATCCCTCATCGCCAACTGCCATCTGGCATGTAAACCAGACTTGGGAACAGTTATCCCTCATCGCCAAAAAACGATATTTGGATGTTTCTCTCAGACGAACGTAAGCCGACAGCCGCAGCAGGCTGTTACTAACTGGCTACAATTGTTGGAAAGTACCGTTAGCAGAATGTGGAACAGATTGGAAACGGAAAGTAGTTTCATCCGCGACACAAGGAGGGGGTCGCAAACTGTCGATTTGGAATCGCCGAAATCGTGTCGTGCCTGTTCTGAAAGTGAATCAAATACTTGCAGACTCGACTACACAGTGGGAACAGTCTTCCCAAGTCTGGTTTACATGCCGGATGGCAGTTGGGTGCAGTGGTGCCAGGACAGTAAACCAATAACACATGGAGGAATATTATTTTTACAGATAATTCATGCTTCACCTTGCAGACGAATACAGATACCAATGTGGAGACTATCTGAAACCGATCCTGGAATGTGGTGCATGCCTACAACAGTAAGCTTAGTGTCAAATACAAGTCTATTGGATACACTACGATCTACAACAGTATTCTTAATGTCAAATACAAGTCTACTGGATACACTACGACCTGCAACAGTAAGCTCAGTGATGGGGCCAAAATAATGTTATTCGCCGCTATTAATTTAGTTCATGCAAATCGTTTTATTGTAATCAGTCATGTGATTTGAAACGTAATTGTTTACCCTAACAGTATATAGTTGTCTCATATTCTATTGCTTCAATTACCTCATTGAAGTAAATCACAGAATTTGAAGTACCTCCGATTTTTCCATGAACCACGACTTGTCTTCATATTGGATACACTACGACCTACAACAGTAAGCTCAGTGTCAAATACAAGTCTACTGGATGCA